AAGCACTTATCCTGGCATAGGATATTCAGGGGGCGCCTAGGCAACCCCCCCACTGTGTTGGCACCCCAAGAGGGGCCTTAATAATTGGAATAGGGTTTTGGGGCCCATTATGCTATGCTTATAAAAAGGACCCCCCCCCCAAGGCAGTATAGGTATAAGTATTAAGGCCCCTATATATAAATATACTAAGCGGGCATTTGCCAAGAAGGGTCTGCCTTTATTAGTCACAGGGTTTGACGGGGCTGCTGCAATGCAGAAGTTTCTTCAGAGGTATGGAGGATTTCAGGATCTCGGGGAGAGCGTCATGCCAGCGCAAATGCAGACATCGCCAAAGATTATGCCACTGTAGCATCTGAGCAACACTCGCAACATCAAGCCTCTTTTGGATGTCAGGGTTCGGGATCTGGGTAGCTGCTTGGTCAGGCACTGCTGGAGAAAGCAGAGGTGTGGCGAACGCGTGTGCCTTGCATCGGTTCAAGACAACCAAAAGCATCGACACGTAGCTCGCGGTATTTACGGTTTAGGGTGTAGGGTGGCTTGGGGTGTCGGGGTTTAGGGCTTCGGGTTTGTTTGGGATGTTCTTGTTCGGTCGGTTGAGCCATCTAAGCCCTGAATGCTCTGGACTGCGACGCTGCGATGTCCATTCATCCCAGCCCCTGTAACTTCCTGAACCTGCTGGCGTCTACCCCGTCGAGCCAACGCGAAACTCCCAGGTCCCAAAATCCGGAGACCTGCCAACCTTAAACCGGTTAAGCTCTAGCAAAGGACCAAAACTCCCTACCCTTCCCTAAACCCTAAACCGTGGAACCTCTTCAAAGCCCAGGTGCTCAACGCGGAGGCTGCTGCACAGTGCTTTCTGGAAGCTTTCTCGTCGTCCACGGACTCCGGCGGCTGCGAAAGTGTTGTGGTCGCTCGTTTTTCTTTAGCAAGTTGCAGGGTTAAGGATTTAAGGTTTAGGGTTTAGTGTTGCGGGTCAAGGAACAAGCTGTTCGGTTGATTTTGGAGGGTTGAGGGCACCAAGGGATAGGCGTGCCTAGGATCGGGGAGGAAGGGTGGAATTAGGGGCCTGAGTTGAAATTACTATAGCAATCTGTAAGAACCCTTACGCTTGGTCTTGAGATTTCAAGCATGCCATGACCATTTCTGCTGGGGTACATAGACCGAGCAGCAGCACTCGACGTAGCTCAAGTGAGCATGAATCGGGATGTATTTTCAGTTTTCCGATGGCAAGTGTCGAATCTGCAGGCGAACACCTCCAATCTGGACTTGCCTTTTCCGGGGCTTGCTGCCTGCGACACGTCAGCTGTGGCCGCTTTCCCTTGCGAGGAGGAATGGATGCAGCAGCACCTGGGTCTTGATACGTAGAAAATGCATGTTCATGTTATCCATGTTGTGCTGTAGCAAGTACAGCGGCAAGCGGCAAGCCCTAAGCTGCGCACTCGCCCTAAGCCCTAAGCAGTTCAGATATAAGCCCAGGCTTCAAGATGCCGATTTTTGCAAGTACCTTTACACCGTACACCGGTCAAGCTACTGCAAGTTAAGGCTCGTAGCTCTTCGTTGGGCGATGGTCTAGACCTTAAGCCCTAAATCGCGAACCCCATGACCCTACACCTTTCAAACCCCTCATAGTACCCTTTTAGCAATTTTTTTTTGAGCCCTGTACCCAGTTCCTAACTTGGGCTCTGCCACACTCCTGCTTCAGGCATTGAGCCCTAGGTTGACCCTAAACCTGCTCGGGTTTTAGGGGCTAAAGGCTTAGGGTTCAGGGCCATACCTGACAACCCTGACAGCTAAGCTTGTTTAGGGCTTAGGGGTTAAGGGTTCAGGGAAAAGCGCTCACACCTAAACTGGACCTAAACCTGCAATTCCCCTCCTAGACAACCTTGAACCTTCCATCGAACTTTATGGGCCGTACTAGTCAGGATGGGTTTGGGGGGCATATAAGACTTTCATAATCGGGGGGCCATGAGGGAATGTTGTTATTCAGTATTCAGGCGCCTACATGGTGAGTCTCAAATAAACTCTGCGAAGCGGCGCCAGTGTTCAGCTCGAGAGGTCGATGTCGAGAGTTGTTTTAATCTTTTCTTATGAATATTTTTCGAAATTCAGGGTTTAGGGTTTGAGAAGGTTTAGGGGCTTACTGCTTCAGTGCTTGGAGCAGCCGAGGTGCTTGTAGAACCCCTACGGAAATCAGTAGAGAACCCTGAACGGAACCCTGCAAGGAATCCTGAGCACCAAGAACGTTGTGTTTTATTTTCAATAGATTTCATTTTTAGTTGAAATACTTGAAATACGTTATTTATTTCAAGGAAGAAACCAAAATCTTAGATCCAAGGTATTACGCGCGGAAACCCTGGTACGGTCCCTCCGCCTCCCTGGCGGCTTGCCGGGCTTGCCGCATCTAAGCGGCTCCCCGAGATCTCGGGGTTCAGCGGTTTAAAGGTTTGTGGGTTTTTTTAGGTTTAGGGTCAGGGTCCTTTTGATTTGGGTTCTAGAGCCTGGAATACAGGCCCAGAGCCTTTCAGGTTTAGCCCCTCCAAGCTCTTGAGCCCCAAGACTCTCAAGCATCAACCTTCAAGCCTGGAAGCCTTGAGCGTGAAGCTCTAGAACCACAGAGAAGCCCCCGAGGTCTCCTTTCTGTTTTCCCTCCATTCTTCTTTTTGCTGGAGGGTTCTGCCCACGATGCTCTGGGATGTCTATAGGAGTCGACGCAAGAATCGCGAGTGGCTAGCTGAAGGGCTTTGTGTTGCTTCAAAGGGAGTCTATACCCATGCGATCGCGGAGGTGTAGTCCGATGCACTAGCTGGTGCAACGCAGTTGCCCGTCTGTAGGAAAGAATGCCTGACTTGAGGGATTCTGGTGGAGTCCGATGGACGGGAACGTCGCCCGGAGTACTGGCCTCAAACCCTTTAGCATCCAGAGGATGGAGAGATGGGAGATTCTTCTCAGAATCAGGTCAGCTTCATGGGACAGCATCAATGCACCTCAAGTGGAGCATTCTCAAGGAACATGCCTGATTTCGAGAAAGTCCCATTCCTTGCCCCACGCCTTAAACGGGACGGGCTTTTTAATTGCTAGGGGACTCGCTTGCTGCCTCGCGCGCAGACCGGAATATTGCCATCAAGGCGTTTGTGAAGCGTTTCCGTAGGGATTCACTGGGGTATGGATCTGCGCAGATGGAGTTCAGAAAAAGATGTACGTTCAGTCTAAAGGACTCCCGGGTGTCTAGGAGTCTTGCGCTGAGTGCAGGTGGGGGTGTCTTTTGTTAGAAGGCATTCGTGCGAGCTGGCAGCACCCTCAAAACCTAAACCCTAAACCCGAAGCCCTGAACCCTTCGCTCCGGCCTCTGAACCAAAGCGCTGAGCTGGAAGGAGGCAGGCTTCAAGACCCCAGGCTATGAACCCAAACAAGGCAGCCTAAACAACTCGTAACCCGGACCCTCAATGTAAACCTTTCATCACATCTCTACGCAGCTGTCGTCAGCGTGACTTATAATCCCGTAGAGCGCTGTAGAGTCTCTTTTGACGTAACACACCACGAAAGCACCAAAATATTGACCCCCAAATCCTTAAGTCACTATTCTGCAACCTTACGCCCGAAGCGGAATGCATACACCTCAAGCCCCAAACCCCTAGTCAGGCCCTAGTCCTGAAGCCCTGAACTTGTCCGACCTTTTCCTTAAATCCTGAGCCCGCAAAGTTGAATCCTAAACCCTTGGATCCGAATATTCACCCATGGTTGACCTGGCTGATTCCAGACTCCGCCTGGGGCCTGGCGCGCCGGAGTTGGCTTTGAAAGCTTAGGGTGTAGGTGTTGATTTGGTTTCTGTGTTTTCGCTTGGTACACATAGAGTTTTCGGTCAACAGCTTCAAGGGTTACGGCTTTCGTGGACATTGGGTATCGGGACTCCACACGGGTCGAAGGCTCGTAGCTCGGGTTGGCCCTGCAGTAGTTAAGCTTTCGTACCATGCAGGGCTTGGTGCATTTTTGCCAGGCTTGTATTAGGGTTTATAAGGTTGTTGTATTTCATGGCACAGAGTTCTGTTCGGGACATGACCAGTTGAGGCAAGATTTGGTCGCTTGTGACGCTGGAGACTTCACAGAGAGGAAGTCCAGGATCTGGTACAGTGTGAGGGTCTGATCAGAGCCGTGCTTACAATTCTTCGAGCTGACGACGCATCTATTTGGACACCGCCGGATGGACGATTGGAAGATGAGTGCCCGAAGCTGCGAGCCCGCTGCAAACTGGTGCCAATTTCGTATGAGCTCGCAACACCGTCTCCGAGACCGAAGGAACCCCAAAGAATTCTTCTTGTCGTCGCCACCCTGTTTAGGCTTAAGGCCTTGCGCACTGCGCAGACGACCCACACCGCCATTTGTTGTGCAGTGGGCTTGTGGTTTTGCAAAACAGAACAACGGGAAGCTTTAAACCTATACTCCAGACCATGCAGAAGCCTGAGAGCTCCGAAACCCAAGTAACGGGACTGGGACTTGGGCGTTCATGAGCTCGAAGGTTTACATAAGATAGCAGTCTTGACAACTGGAATAGGGTTGTGAAGTATATGAAGTATAGATTGTGGTAGAATTGCACGGGAGTTAGAAGGCGATAGTGTTCTTGATTGTCCAGACCCCTAGTTTTGGTAGTGTTCGTTCTTCAGGCTTCAGAGCTCTGGGATGCATCGAGGCAATTGGGGTTGCGGTAATGTCGTGGGATCACACAAGACGTGAAAATGCGGCCCATACTTCCAAACCCAATCCGAGGTCTTTAGTCTTAAGCCCTAGGACGAAAACTTCAGAATCGTAGACCCCAAGTCATATAAACCGTTTACCTGAATGAATAAACCCCATACCCCAAGCCTTAAGCTCACATGACTCCGGCCCGCCGTTCGTGGAGTGCTTAATCCTGAGGCGCGCGTTTTTCTGGCCGCAGGAGATACCTATAGGCTATTTTGCAGATCTCCCCAAAAAGGGGTGCCTTTTAAGAAACGCGTCTCCCAAACATGCGCGCCGTGGCCCTGTGCCTGGCTGGCCTGCTTGCCACTGGGCGCGTTCTAGCTTGTTTGTGGGTGCCCACGGGAGGGGGAAGGCCCGCCTTCGTCTTAGTCCAAAGGCCGTAAATGGTTTTACTGCAGACGGCGGAAAAGACAGTGAGGTCACTTCCCAGTTTTCTCCACCGTTTCATGCTAATATGTCAGCCGAAACCCTAGCGAAAGCCGTCCTTCAAACCTTGCGGTTCTTTTCGGCTTATCATGGTTTGCAACACAGGGTTTAGGCTGCTAGGGTCTTAGCCTGTGCAGTCTTTCGGCTTTTCCACAAGCGTGCTGCAGATTTGGACTTCAGAACTTCAGAACCCCTCAGCCCCAGGGGTTTCCGGTCTCGAAACGGGGTTTAGCGTTTAGGTCTAGAGGGTTTTAGGGAGGGCACACGCTTGAATTCTTGATAGCCCAGATTCGACGTGCTGGACCCTACCTCTACCTCAAGAGTGGCCTTCACGCCGGGGTCTTTGGTATTCATATCTCTAAACCTTAAACCCCCGAACCCTAAACTAGGGCTCACGGTTACAGGCTAGGGTTTACGATTTACATGTTCGGGGATTTTCAGCTTTCGGGTCATCTCGGCTTTTTTGTTCAGGCAACCCAGAGCCCTAAACTTCGAGGCCCTGACAGAGCCCTAATCAAACCATACTTGGAGGATCATGGGACTTAATAAGTGGGGTTATAAGTAATTCTATGTATAGTTACCTTAATTATAGCCCGAGTTACTAAGTCCCATGATCCTTTAAGTACACGACCCTAGAGAAGATGAGCCCTACAGCCCTACAAGAACCCTTTGGGAGCCTCATGAAAGCCTTACAGAAACTGCCCGAATCGCCAAAGCCCATTAGGAACCCTGCACAACCCCAAAAGATCCCTGTAGGACGCTCTGAAATCCATTACAACCGAAAGCTACAAAAGTGCCCTTTGGGGGCCGACAAAACCCTTCTATCAGGACCCTGTAGCTGTAAGAGATATTGGGGTCCCCTAATTTCGGAAACTCCCATCAGAACCCTATGCACTGCAGCACTGGTCGACTCCTGATAAATGCCTTAACTACAACAAAAAACCTAAAGCCTAAACCCGAAGCCCTGGAAATTCGAGGTTCGCTCTCAGAGCACCGAGGACGCTGCGCTTCCCGAGGATGACGAGTGCAGCTCTGTGCCCATGCTGGTTTGTTGTGCGGGACCTATGAGTTTTTTTAATTTTTAAGTGGGTTCTGGTTTCAGCTTCGGTGTTAGGACTGCAGTAGCTAGAGCTAATGCATGAGGGCTCTGGGGTCTTCAGATACAGGCCTTCATGAGCATGGATTGTTTTCGGTTTGAGGCATGTATCATAGTTGCTGTTCTCACAGCAAAAAAAGTAAACGTCAGCATAGTCGCATGTCATCAAGAATCACTCACAGAAGGATATTGCACTGTCCCTGCTTCTCGAGAACCTCCTCCTGTCGCTGCTTCTGCTGCTGCTGCTGCTAAGCCAAACCCAGGGCCAGTGTGCCGTGGACTTGCTTCAGAAGTTCCAGAAAGCGGAGTACGGCGAGGAGTGGGTTCAACTGATCGACGCAGGGGCTGCAAGAAGCACTGGCGGCTTCGTTGCTCTTCTTCCTCTTCTTCTCGAATTCTTGTGTTGCAGGTTGCCGGGTTGTATTTTTGTCATCGGCAATGCCGCGGAAATGCAATGTTGCTCTCGTTATCATATAAGGGACGTAAATGATGCAGTTGCTGTTGTAACTGTTGCCGCTGTTGTTGCTCTGCGTGTTTTTTCCTTGTGTTCGTCGTCACTGTTGGTAGCTATGGCTCTCAGCAGCTTGTTTTTGTTAAAACGTTTTGCTCATAGTCTTCCGAGTTCCCGTCATCACTAGATAGTCGCTTCATCGCAGCCCGGCGCGCCCTGGCTTCGAACCCTCCATCCCTACTCAGTCAGCAGGCCTTTTGACAATCGGATAGATGGCGCTAGGAAGCCTATGGTTCCAGAATTGATGATGATGTATCGTCATGAACTGCGTTGTCTTGGAGTTTCAAGGGTTGAGGATTTAGGAAGCTTTCTTCGTGCCGCCGCTGCTGCTCCTCTGCTCGCCTCCATTGGTATCCCGATCCTCCCTCGACACATTCAGCCCCGACTCTCGATACTCTCCTGTCAACCTCAAGTTCCCGAACCCTGAACGTGTTTTAAGGCCTAGCTGCTGCTGTAAATGTCGTAAACCGTAAACCCTAATCTCTGAATCCCATCGCATTTCGAGCGATCCCCCACCTTAGATCCGAAACTCCAAAGTCCTACATCCTAGACCCCAAGATCCGCAACGGAAAACCCAAGCTCCTTGATCCCTGCGGCATAAGGAAGGCAGCACCTGCCCCAGTGGTGGCTCGATCCCCTGCGAGATGAGGGGCTCCTGGCGACACTTCAGGTGGACGGCGGTTCCTAAATTATCTTGAAGTGAGGTAATGCGTCATTGTTGTATCCAGACGTGTTCCCAATACGTACCGTGCCACAAGTTTTGCGGTAGAGGTTCCACTTCTTTGAGTTCTTGGTCCTTTGAAAACGGTCACTCAGGCCTGATAAGGGCGATGCCAAGGGTCCCCTCAAAATCTCCGCGAGATTTAGGGTTCAGGGTTTCGGGTTAGATGTTTTACTCACTGAGAGTTTCCATTAAACCTTGAGTTCCGACAGTAGAACCCAGCTCGAGGCTTGGATTCGGGGTGTGAAGGGGATTTCGGTTTATGGGGACTTGGGGTTTAAGGGCTTTTGTGAACGTACCAGTAATACGGTTTGGGGTTTTGGGTTTCCGGTTTCGGGCTTATTGGGGGTTTTGTGTTTTCAAAGGTTCAGGTTTACTGGGTTCGTGGTGAGGAGAATGCCGGGATAGGAGTACGAGTATATAAGTAGTTATATAAATGGCGAAAATAGATCACACACATATGTAACATATATATATATATATATATATATGTGTGTGTAATATGAATAACGATGCATTACACACACACACACACACATATATATATATATATACACGCACATACACATAGCCATAGTACATAATGCGTGATACAAATACATCTGACCGACCTTCAACCCAAAGTCCCCAAATCAGGGATCCTCCTCTTTCCTCTTTACTATGCAAGCTTTCCGAATTTTGAGAGTTTCCAGGCTTATGGCTTTCAGAGGTTGGGGGATTTCTGGGTGTGTCTCTGCGTGTGTGCTTCATGTAGAGTTTACGTTCAAAAATTCTGTCTTCTGTTGAGAACCATGCCTGCTCGTACATATTTACTTCCCCAATGCAGGTTTCCCGCCGGCGTTTTCGCGGTTCCGCGGCAAGTCTCCGTCCCCGCCGCCGGGCTTTTGCATTGGCATGGTGAATTGCTTGATTCTGACAATGCTGTGCGAGACCGAGTTTGTTGCGATTATGGTGCCAGGGTCATGGTGGTTGACAGAGGTTTGGGGTGGGTGGTTTAGGTCCCTAAAGTTTAGATGGACTTCCTACTGGGGACTATGTCTGGTGCTTCTTAAGCTACATTTTTTGCAGGCAATGGGGCCTTGGATTGCTGACTGGAGATCTGAAGCCGAGGAGAATACCGTGATCGAGGGCGTCGCGAATCCCAACAGCAACGACCCGAGGACGAAACCCAACTATCGCAGTCAGACCGTCTTTGTCGCAAACAGTGGGGTGTCTCTGTTGCAATTTGATGATGATGGTCGTGGTTTCGGTCATTTTCGTGTTTATGGTTATGGTTGTGCCTGCGGCTGTAGTTTTTCTGGGTTAGTCCTGCTTTAGTTCTGCCCACTGTTTTTCTTGCCTTGTCTACCAGCATCTTCTTGCCTTTGCTTTGGTGGTGGTTGTGGTTGATTGTTATTTGGCGATTGCATTATGTATTTATATTGTATTGTATTGTGTTCTAATGTTGTAGTACGTTGTATTACATTCTATATTTCTTTTCGGACGGTTCGCTCCTGTTTCTAAGATCAAAACAAGCGGACAAACGCACGGACCAAGCCCATGCTATACTTCACTGTTTCGGGCATATTCCATTCATTACATGACTTTTCATCGTATCATTTCTTATCATGGCATATCATATCATGGCAGATCATGTCTTATCAAATATATTACGTCATCATATACATTATGTACGGCGAGACTTTCAGATGCAGGTATCCAACCACAACATCTGCTACTGCCAGAACTTGGAGCGCAGCTGGGAGCCCTTGTCTCCCAGTTCCTTGTTTGATCAGAGGGGGGCCTTGACATGTTTTTGGGAGGGTTGCGGGTTTAGGGTTAGGATTTGGGGTGGGTATGCTTTGTTTTGGTGATCGCTTGAAGAGGGACCTTTGGCTTATTCACAACCCAGTGTTATTGTTTTCTTTTCCACGTGGTTGCTCAGTCAGAGGTTCCAGGACAGGGCTGTTGTTGGACTTGCAAGTTTGATAGCGTTTTTTCTGGTGTAGGAACTACGGTGGTGTTGATATGCTTGTATCACAGAGGTTTGAACCATTAGTCATAGTATCCCCTTATGGTGTGTCTACAAGCACTATGATCCCCCCAAACCCTCCTCTAATTGACACTGTAAGGAGGTCCTTAGTCTGCTTTTCTTTCCCCGCTCCGCAGTCCTCAGTGAACACATATGGGTGGTTGTCAAAATTATGGTCCCTTTTTGGGTCATTATGATAATACGGCACCTCATATCTCGGGTACCCAAAAAGGGGCGATATTTTTGACAACTACCTTAAACAAGTTCTGGGGGATCTAGTGCGCTGTAACTAATTGTAGCCTCAGCTACACTACACATCATTATCTTGCTAAGTCAACAGAACCTTAAGGTAGGGTTCAGAGTTCAGTGTTCAGGGTGTTTGCCGGACTTTCAGCTGACCGTTGGGTGTTGGGCACTGTAACGTAGAACCCTTGATGAATCAACTCTCCTCCGCTCATACGGTTTAAGTCGGGATCGCAACACTGAGGCCCCAAAGAAAAGGGTTTTCAGTATTCAGCTGGGCTTGGCTTGGGTTTTCGGTTTAGGGACAAGGGCCTTAAGCTCGAAGCCCAGACACGCAAAAGCTCGCAAGCAACCGAGGAAACCCCTACCACTGTCAAAGCTTGACCAACGAAGAAGTGAAGCGCTTGCGGCCCGGGCTACCGAGCGGCATAGCGTTTAAGGGGAGTTCCGTTTAGGCCTGGGCTTTCAGGGCTTTAGGGTTTTGGCCATTCATTTTCAGGCTGCACTTTTTTGTTGTGTCGCGGTCGTGCTTTTCAGCGTTGTTCTGCAGCTGTAGCAGCTGTTACAGTTGCAGATTCCATGAGGTTGGCCCCTGTGATCGCTTTTCAGCTCTACTTACACCGAAGCGAAACATCTCCTGCCTGTGCAAGCACATGGAGCAAGGCGATGCACCATGAAGCCTCAATGCAGCCAGTTTGTAAAATTGCTCCAGAAATCCGATTGGATTTTGTACCCGGCACGTGCAGCCCTCAACCGCCCAACCCAGGTTCCTGATGTACTCCAACACCTTGGTCAAAAATATTGCATACCAAGGGAAGGACTGCTGCAGAACCTTCACTGTGATTCTCGCTTTGCTAGGCAATTTTCTTATGATTGTGCTTTCCCAATTTGCATACTAATGCAGATACTTAGTTTCTCTCACACTTATGTTTAATTCTGCCGTATTTGTTTTCGATGTTGATGTTGAAAGCTGTCTCGCGTGGCTTACTGCTGCCGATTTGTTTGACGGTAACTATGTTAGCTTCTACGTTACAGGACACCACCAGGCCGTCCGACAACGGGGCCTTGTGTGGAGGTGTCCGCGGCTGATACAAGATGGGATTGAGAGTTTCAGCTTTGGAGAATCGGTCGAAGCCTTGAACTTAGCCAGAAACCAACTCCAGCATTTTCGGGCCTTCTCAGCGGCTTGAGATTGAGCCTGGGGTAGAGGCTCTCCGCTTTCGGGTTAAGGGGTTCAGGAATGCGATTAAGGCCTCCCGAAGTTTCGAGAGAAGTGAGGGTCTGAGACTTGCGCGTGGCTGCTCTCGTGGGTTCAGGGTAGGGCCGGGTCGGGATTTCTCTGGCCCAGCCTGTCCTATGTGGAGACATCTTCTCTTCTTTCCAGCTGGAGCGCTTGCAGTGGGTACAGGCTTTGACATGTGAGGCAGCGGATGGCTGCATGCAGGTATGTCTGGAGCTGTACTTCAACATAGTCGTTAACTAGTCCCGCGATGGAATTGGACCTCTTTTTGGGGGCTTGTCCACATTTGACGGTCGGTGCGACCAACAGCTTCAAAACTTGCTCAGCGGAAGAGTGCGCTGTGAAGCAAGCTTTCATGTTGAACTTCTGGAAAGTTTTCTTGAATCCATCCATCCATCCATGCATACGCAATCTATATCTATATATATATATACACACCTACAGATGAAGGGTCTGTACCTGCACCTCTTCCTTCATCTGCATCTGTATCTGTATCTGTATGTGCACGCGTGTTCGTCTGCGCATGGGCACATATATATATATATATATATATAGACATACACACATGTATTTATATAGAGCTGTTTCATACAGTCATTGAATTTTCATGTGATTGTTCTTTTTAAGTACACCTGCAAGCATGCAGACGTGGAGAAAGGTTATCCACCCAGAGTTGTAAATGCTTACTAGAAGTTGCTGGCCAGCGCGGTCCCTAAACTCTAAAATCTTAAATCCTACTTAAAGGCTCATGGGACTTTGTGAGTAAGGTTATAAGTAGGTGATAATTATGACAACGGCACTTAGGGGACTTATAGTTAGAGACTAGCATTCCCAGTTTGGGTAATAATGCCACCGCTAACCCATTAGATGATCATTCCTAGGGTCCCCCCTACACTTCACCGATAAATCACGACTACTTCCCCCATTAGATGATCATTCCTAGGACCCCCACCGATATATCACTACTACTTCCCCATTATCAACACAAGTCTAGGAATAACCATTACCCCATCTATTACCTCTAAGGTGGCATTATTACTCAAAACGGGAATGGTCTTCTCAAAGAATTTGGTTCAGGGTTTAGGGTTAAGGGTTGTAACAACACTGTAATTATAATATATAACAGCTTATGTATTATAATTACATTATAACTATGCTTTTTCAGGAGACTATCTAAATTGAATTTTGAACTATCATTTCATTTAAGAACTCTGATGTTGCTTGTAAATACTCATAATGTAATTGTTTGTCTATTGTTTTATCATATTGTAAATAATATATGATCTTAATAAAAATATGATATACTCTTTGATAATAATGAGAATAACCACATAAGGTCTCTTTGTAATAATTCATTTTCTCCTGATGCCATTGATAGAAGTCAAATGTATCTAGGTTCTCGTAAATGGTTTTCATTTCAATATGTAAATCAAGTGTATAATATTTCTTTTGAACATCATCTCGCATTATTTCATGAACTTCATTATATTCTGGGTATTTGTTTAACTTAGTAAAGGGTAATATATAATCATCAAATAAATTTCTTAACTCACAACATTTATCACAAGCATAGTAATCTACAACCTGATCTTTACAAATATTTAAGACATCGCATTTGCCTAGTAATATTTTCTGTATGTTCTTAACTGGGTTACACTTATCACATCTATTGAAATAATTAAATTTGTGTATCTGATTATACAAACATGTTTCATCATATTCACTCTCACTTTCATATTCGCTTTCACTCATTACCACGATAATATGTAAGTTGTTATTTCTTTAAGTCATTTTCCTTAGAAATATTATTTTCTTAAGATTTACTGTATCGCGGTTTATTTGACAGATTTATCCAAGCATTCAGAACAAGTCGCAATGTATTTAACATAACAATAAGAGTGCTTACCAACACAATAGCAACGCTTGAAATAATCAATGGATTTGACTTGCTTACAACGATAACACATCCTAGTATTAATATTATTTGTTTCAGTATATGGTTCAAAATCAACTAATATCTTATCTACTCTTACTGGCATTATTATTAATATATACACTTTTTCATAATGCGATATTATGAAAATTTGCAGTGGGAGAGATTTAGCATCTCTCGCGATTGCTCTACGTGCAACCGGGAGAGACGCATCGTCTCTCGCGATTGCGCTACGCGCAACCGGTTCCTTAAGATTTAACGAAACTAATTACGAATTAATGTCATTACCAAACTCTTATGGTTTGCCTATGAACCTGTAGAACTTGCTAGGCACACGGGGGCATTGGCTCACTTCCTTCTTCTGTTTTCATTGGGGGCTTTTTATGCCAAGATGGCCTGTCATTATACACGAGATTTTAATCCATAATATTTAAATTATTCTTCAAAATATTTACATCTTTGTCTATCCTTTCAACATCCTCCTCCACTTTTTCTAGTCTCTCTTCTGGCGTAGGCTTTCTTGATCCAAATCCGGTTGTCACTGTATCAACACCTTCATTATCTGTTAAACTTGTTTTAAATATGGCGTTTTCATCGGGGGATATTCCCCTTCCCATCTTAAAACTGCTCCCAACTCCGGGGAAGGCACGCTGAACTCCAGCGATGTGCCCAATGACCATGTGCTGCCGCCTGACGTAGAGCAAGCAGTGTCTGTTGCAATTGAGGTTTGGTCAGCCCGGAGCTGCATCAAGACGTGCAGGCATGATGCCTGAAAAGGTTAACGTGAGAGGTGTAGACTTCGTGGGTTCGATCGTGAGTTTCTGGTCGGGTTCGCCGTGCTCTGCTGCCAAGGGGCAGCTTTATCGGCAAGACGTCAGGTAGTTTGATGG